AGACTAGAGGTTAAAGTAGAGCATAAAGTGTCAGTTGCTGCATTCACATCCAGCGATGTGAGATGAGTAGGTGAGGGAAGAGAGGAGGATACTACATGTGATGTAGTACTGCGTGTGATGTTAGAGCGTTATCGATAGACAGGAGGAATGGTTTGGAAACACATGATAGAAGTGGAAAAGAGAGGACAGGAAAGGAGAGTGTGTAAAGGGATAAATAAAAATATACTTAAGTTCATTGCTTAGTGAAGTCGCGCAGGTAAAGTCGCAGGTCTTTACACTTGTTGGTCTTCACACGAGGAGGGCTGAACGCTTCCGCGTCAGCGCACAGGCATCAAATAAATAGGTGCCAACCCCTCAGAGGACCTCAGATGATGCCAACCCTGAAACATGAGATGAGTAGGTGAGGGAAGAGAGGAGGATACTACATGTGATGTAGTACTGCGTGTGATGTTAGAGCGTTATCGATAGACAGGCGGAATGGTTTGGAAACACATGATAGAAGTGGAAAAGAGAGGACAGGAAAGGAGAGTGTGTAAAGGGATAAATAAAAATATACTTAAGTTCATTGCTTAGTGAAGTCGCGCAGGTAAAGTCGCAGGTCTTTACACTTGTTGGTCTTCACACGAGGAGGGCTGAACGCTTCCGCGTCAGCGCACAGGCATCAAATAAATAGGTGCCAACCCCTCAGAGGACCTCAGATGATGCCAACCCTGAAACAACATACAGAACTACCACATTTTGCTATAAGTTTGATTGCATCATATAATAATTGCTGTTAATAGTATTCATTGTCTGTTTGATTACGTCTTTAATTGATTTTCCCATACATTTCTGCCATATGTACATTAACTGACAGTCACCACTGATAAGCTACCACTAAATATTGTAGAAACTTAATTTGCTGTAAAGTTGCTTTGCAACGATTTGTATCGTGAAAAGCGCTATACAAATAAACTTGAATTGAATTGAATTAAATACACAGTAAAGTGAAATCAGCTGTGGCCGCCTTCTAATTAGCACAGTCAATAGCCTATAGCAGGGCAAATACTCAAATCGAAACTACAGTTCGCACTTAAGCATAGGAAGGGAGCAATGCAAATAACACAGGCTCCTTCTAAGCCGAGGGCAATTATTAGAATTACCAGTAAGTGCAATCAAAAATACAAACTCCAACGAAAATACAAAGTATAAATAGGTAGAAAACGAAATATTCCTTCCTAGCAGCAAGTAATAATTTAAACAACAGACCTATAACAAGTATTGTGCAAAACACTCACGCCTTGCTGTCCATCTCTTCTGTTGACTAATCGCTTGTCCCCAAGCAAGACCAGAAAGGAGAACGGCACTCGTTGCGAAAGAGCTCGCACGCTACAACATTGACATAGCAGCCCTCAGTGAAACACGCCTCCCTGACGAAGGAT